CTTCCCCCAAACCTGCTACAAGCCGCCGTCAAAATGACATACGAGCCCCCCACCGGGCTGAGAGCCAACATGCGCCGCAGCCTCGGTCTGGACCCCTTGAGCGACCACCTCTTCTGGGAGCTGGAGGGGGTGGGGGGACCGCACAGTACCAGTACGGCAGCAACAGCTGCAACAGCCGGGCAGCAGCAGGGGCGTCGTAAGCGCCCCTCGGGGGTCGGAGGGGAGCCGGCACCGCCTTCGCCGCCGACGTTGAAACGGTTGTTGTTTGGACTTGTGTTTTTACACGCGGCAGTGCAAGAGAGGCGGCGGTACGGACCCATCGGGTGGAATGTGCCGTACGGTGAGTATGTACGTGATGAATCGTGCTGTTGGAAGGACATAAAACGTTTAGGAATGCGAAGAAAGCGAATTGTATAGGAAATAAACCGTTATGAGCCGTTTCTCGATACAATCTGATGCGTTAAATGGATGAAAAGAATTGGCGGGCTCGGTGTGCATGTGCAAATACCGCTTCGGGTCATCAATCTGAGATAGAAATATCCCTGCTGACATCCAGATTCGAACTGGAGACCTCCCGCTTACTAAACGGGTGCTCTATCCAACTGAGCTATGCCAGCTGATGTTGTGCATATGCATTTAGTATTTGTCCAGGATGGGGCAATGTGCGTTTTGATTGTTGTGTCGACAGGGCGTCTGTGTGTGGTGGGGGGAAACGGGGGGTTGGGGTTTGGGAGATGGGGAATGGGGACGTGCACCGCAGGGCCGGGGCAAGCTAAGTCACCCAGTGCGCGAGTGAGGCGGAGGGGAGTTCCTAAGCTCAGCGTCCGCCCGTCCGCCAACCCGCCGGTCTACCGTACCCTGCTCCGATTTGCCGTACACCCAGGTTTCGATGACGGCGATCTGCGGATCTCCGCACGGCAGATGCGGATGTACGTACAGGATTCCGTAACTCGGGGAAATCCAGTGCCGTACGAGGCCCTGCGGTATGCCATCGGGGAGTGCAACTACGGTGGAAGGTACGGTACGGCACCCGTAATAGTACGAACGCAGATACATCATTGCTCGTGAGAGATCTTGGATCTTAAATCCAGACCCAACCCAAAACTCAGATTCCGATCCAGATACACATTTCTGTTTTCCGTACCTTCGCCTTCTTCCTACCTCCCCCTCCTCCCTTCCCCCCTTCCCCCTTTCCCCCCCACCTTACACGCACACACACATACACACACATACATACATACATACATACATACATACATACATACATACATACATACAGAGTCACGGACGATAAGGACCGGCGGCTGCTGAGCACCCTCCTGCGCCGCATCGTGGCTCCGGAGACTGCGGAAGGGACCCCCCGAGCTGAGCTGCTGACGCGGCGACGGCGGCGAAACAGCAGCGGGCAGCAGCAGGAGGAGGAGGAGGACGACCCCACGGGAATACTGGCCATGGTGGCGGCAGCGGCAGCAGCAGCAGCAGGGGCAGGGGGAGGGGCAGGGGGAATGAAGGGGCCCCTGATTATCGAGGTGCCGGATACGACCACGTTGGAGGGGTGAGTGGTACTTAGGGGGGGGGCCCCCGGGTGTGTGTGCGTGGCTTATGAAGCGGATGAGCCGTATAAGTGTGTGGGTACACAAATATCTTTATTGTATGTGCATGTGGCATACGTATGTATGTATGTACATGTGTTTGTGTGTTTGTGCTGTCATGCGCTTGCGAGGACCTCCACACAAGTATGAGAGCGGCTCCACCACCGCAAGGGGGGGGGAGGGGGGAGGGGGCCGAGCTCCTTCACCCCGCGTATGCAGTACGGAACATGTCTGTTCGGAGTAACGGGTCGCCTCCGTTTCTTGCCCCGTTCTTTTCCCCCTTACCCCCTCCCCGCCCATTTCACCCAACCCTCTCTCCGTGCCGCCGCTTCGGGCGTTGGGGTTTTACAGGTTCGCCGCGTACGTGGATTCCCTTCCCTCCTCCGTCCCCCCGGATGTGTTTGGCCTGCACCCCAATGCTGACATTAGCAAGGTGAGAGAACGCTGGGGAATGGGGGGGATCGAACCGGGGACCGGGGGGAAAGTTATAAGGGAGAGACACATACACACACGCAAAACCCCCTACCATCCCCCCCTACCATCCCACAGGACTTAGCCACCACTCACGACCTGCTCTCCAGCCTCGTCAGTGCATCAAGTGGGGGGTCAGCAGCAGCAGCAGCTTCCTCCGCCTCCTCCTCTGCGTCCTCGGGCGCCGCCACCGCCGCCGTAGCGGGCGAGGTGGTCCGCGATGTGTTGGGTCGGCTGCCGCCGGACTTCGACGTGGAGGCGGTTGCGGCGGCTTACCCCGTGTTGTACCACCAGAGTCTGAATCAGGTGGGCAGGTGGGGGGTTGGGATGTGTGTAGATGTAGGTGTAGGTGTAGGTGTAGGTGTGTATGGTTTCGGAGGGGTGTGGGAGAGGGGGTGGGGAGGAGAGGGGGAAAGGAGGGACCCCTGGACCGTGTCGAATTGTGTTTTTTAGGATTTTTGGTTTCAGGGTTTTATGGCGGCCCCCTGGTCACAGGCGCGCGGGTAGCGGGTCGGGAAGCGGGGAAGTGATGCTGGTACTAGTGGTGGTGGCTATGGCGTCAGTACGACAACGTTCGTCTGCGACTCCCGTACCTCGTCTCCTCGAACCTCTGCTTGTCACATACAACACATACAGACATACACACATACACACACGCGCGTGTCTGCCCCCCCCCCTCCCGTAACCCCAACCCCCCAACCGACACGCGCACCCACACGGTTTCGCAGGTCCTGGTTCAGGAGATGAGCCGCTACAACCGCTTGCTTGGGGTATTGCGCAACAGCCTTAGTCAGCTGGGTCGTGCTGTAGCCGGGCTGCAGCTGTTGTCCCCGGAACTGGAGGGGGTGTTGGGGGCGGTGGCGGCGGGGCAGGTACCGGCGGCGTGGAAGGTGAGAGAGGGGGGGTGGGTGCTTGGCTCGTGGGTGGTTGGGCCCTGGCTCAATGTCGGGGGTATGGGCACTGAGACAGTGACGGCGGTCAATCTGTTTGTCTGTATACATGTATGTAAGTATGTATGTATAAGAGGGGTATCCACTACCTTCCTGGCCACCGCTGTACCCCCATTGCTAACCCCACCCCACTGCGACTCGCAGCCCACTCAAACCGGGTCAAGATGTCTCACACAAACCCTAGGACCTGTTTTCAACCCCCCC